AACCCATGGGCAACGCCAAGCCTGCTGAGACCCCACAACCCATGGGCAACGCCAAGCCTGCTGAGACCCCAAAACCCATGGGTAACGCCAAGCCTGCTGAGACCCCGAAACCAGCTGGGAAAGAACTCAAGAAGGAGGTTAAGAATGATGTGAACTGTAAGAGGGGGCATGCAGGAGCCACAGATAATGAGAACAGGTCAGAGAACCAAGGGACAGCCCCAACCTTCAAGGAGAAGCTACAAGATGTCCGTGTGACAGAGGGCGAGAAGCTGCTACTCCAGTGTCAGGTGTCCTCTGACCCCCCAGCCACCATCACCTGGACGCTGAATGGAAAGACACTCAAGACCACCAAGTTCATCATCCTCTCCCAAGAAGGTAACAAGGGCAAGGGCCGGGAAGAAGGGGGCTCTGTACCAGGCTCGTGGACTGTAGGCTCTGTAGGCTCCGTAGGCTCGTGGACTGGTGCTCACAGCCCTCCCAGGAGCGGTGTCCTGCTCCGAGCCCTCGGGTACACGCTCCATCACGGGGCGGTGAGAGGTGGGCGTCTGGTCCTGTGGCACACTCCCGGCCTCGGCATCTGTCTGGCAGGGATGCTTCATGGCAGCCCCAGCCGTGGCTCCTCAGAGCGGCCCTGGGCCTGAGCTAGAGCCCCACGGCTCGGACGTGGAGAGGGCTCTGTTTGCAGGCGCGAGGGGGCCCGGGGGCTGGAGCCCACCCGGGGTTCGGAGCTGAGGGCTGCATTCGCAGCAGCATTTTAGGTTTGGAGAAGGGTGTACAGTGACGGGACGGCACGGGACTGTGATTTGGGGTCAAGAACAACTTAAGTCTTGATAACACTGTGGGTTTGAAAGGATCGGTGGGGGAAAGCCAAAACCCCAAACAGCCCCTACGGCACACACTCCTGGGCGGACAGAGCCACTCGCTTCCTAATTTGGATGAGACTTTGTTTGCTGGTATTTCACATTCTTGGGTTGTGGGGAGAAGGGGGGGCACTAAATCCTGACATCTGGGGCCTTTTGGGATCTGGAGTTCTGAGATGGGCCAGCTTATACCGAAAGAAGGGATGGGGGTAAGAGGGGCATTTCCCCTGGACTCTCAATTTGGTTCGAAGTGTTTTAGCCAAGCATCTCAAGCCTGGACAGGAGCTCCCAGTCCAGCAGGTCTCCCACACCCCACTCTGGTGGCCAGTGCTGGAACAGAGCCTGGGCTGAGCTAAGGGCTGGTACCAGTGGCTCTGGACAGGGCAGGGTACAAAGTTCCCCCAGGAAGTGGCATTTTACCCTTAACGGGTGGAGGGTGGCAGCAAAGAGGAGGCCCAAGTGGACAGGTCCTGTGCAATCGGGATCCGCTGAGATGTCAGAAACACCCCACACCGTGCTGTTCCCCTTTCTGTCTGCTGACTGCACACCCCTCTCCCCTCCTTCATCAGGCTTCCTTCCTTCTTCCTGAAACCCGAAGGAAGCGTTTGAAGAAAGCAGTATCCCTCTCAGCCCACGATGAAGTTTCTCTCTTCATTCTGCAGCTCAGACAGCAAATCGGGAACAGCTGAGCATTTTGAATCTAAGCGCTAAAAGATTAAGGGAAAATTTACCAAGAGAGAGAAAATGTTTTATTTTCTGCTACTGTGTCGATAGGAGAACTTTCTCGTGTGGATATCTCCAGAGTGGTAGGGTCCTCGGAAGGCATGTCATCTACCCCCCAGCCTCTGCTTGCTCAGCCTCCCTGTGGTCCACACACAGGTGGGCATGGGGGATTACTAGGGTGGGATGAGATGTCCAGGGGAGTGCGTGGTGCACCTTCCCTGTCACCCCTGTGGGCCCCTCCCAGTTGGAAAGCCTTTGGTAGAACTGGTCTGAGACCTTGACTGGGAGCATTTCCCAGGTTACCCTGTGGTGATCTCTCCAGGAAGGATGAAGGGTGGGCAGCCGCCCGTCCCTGGGGCATATGCACAGTGTGAGGCCCATGGCTACACCCACCTCAGGGAAACAGATGTTCGACAGCTGAGGGCAGTGCCCAGAGCCACGCAGCTGCTGTGAGACCTGTGTGGGGCCTGAGAGTGCCCGGAGCCACTAGTAGCTGCTTATAAACAATCCCCTCAGCCGAGCACCGTGAGCAGACCTCAGCCCTGGTCTCAAACACACGTCGGAGTCATTAGGCACGGCCGCTCATGTCCACAGTGCCTTGAGTACGTGGTATCTGCTGTCACTGAGCGTTCAAGGGCTATCCCAGTATCGTCTCTCACAGAAACCACCTCAAAGGGACAGTTTAAGTCCAAACCAGAGGAAGAAGAAATGATTAAAAGAAGGCCAGCACAAGGAGAGGATAGGGAAGGACTAGGAGCAGGGTGGGAAGGGGATGAAGAGACAGCCCCAAATTCAGCTTCTAAAAAATACTCTAAATATTTGTAATTCTCCTTTGAAAACTAAGAATAGCTTGCATGAATTGAACATCATGTACCAGACGCTGTCCTAGGCCTCTTACACTCATTTCATCCTGCCTGTCTCTCAGACAAGTGCAGTATCTTGCCCAAGGCTGCACAGCTAGGGAGTCACAGAGCTGGGCTTTGCATGTAGGCAGTTGAGTTCTGATGCCCAGACCACTAAGCTATATTACCTCTTAGTTCCTTCTTGTTAGATGTCAGCACAGCTGAGAGACCTTTCAGGATCCACTCACCAGCAGCATTGTCCAGCAGGGTAAGATACTCAGGGCTGTTAACTCCTCAACATTGTCAGTAGTTGTCAAGAGGCTGGAAGACTGGTGGTGCCCTCTGGGCTTGCCAAGTTTCTGGTATTTCACTGCATGGGCCGGTCTGCCTTGCCATAGTAGGGAGAGTACCTTGTCTTAAAATACCAGCCCTGTTTTCTGTCCATCCCTTCTCTAGAGCCTCACCCTCCAAGTTTCAAGAGCCTGGCTTAGACACGGACCCCAGGGAGAAAGCCTATCTGAAAGCCTTATCAGTGACCACTTCAGCAGGCCCCCCTGCAGGGAGCCGGGCATGCTGAGAGGTGTGAGTAGATGTGCTCTCCACAGATCTGGAAAGAGGGGACATACACTCACAGTGATAAAATGATTCCAGCCAAGTGCCGAAGTTGAGCTGGTAGGCATAGGAGAAGAGGGAGCTGAGTCCTGGGGCCGCAGGAAAGGCTGGTGCTGAATAAGCTGGGCCAGGGCTCCTGGCAGGCAAGGACGTAGGGCTTCCCAGGCAGGGGCTCCAGCAGCAGCAAAGGCAGGCCTGCTCACAGTATGGGAGGGCTGGTGGGGAAGGCATGGCCCATGGCATCCTAGGTCACGCTAAGGAGCACGATTCTGAAGGCACTAGGGAGCCATGCAAAAGTTTGGAATGAGGAGCAGTGCACACACGGCTAGGGGTTTAGGGGTTTTGATTGACCCCGTGCCCAAAGACAGGTAAGGAGCCTTACTGAAGAGGTCGGGGAGAAAGGGGGACTGGACTAAGAAGGTAGCCATGGCACAGACAGGAAACAACCAGTTCAAGAAGCAAGGACAGGATTAAAAGAACCTGTTGCCTGGCTTGGGAGCAGGGGCAGGAGAGAAGAGGAAGGAGCGGAAGACCACTGCGTGCTGGTGACTGGGGTCATGCTTCTACTGGCATCAGTGGAAATCAGCTGGTGGTTTGAGGTGGTCTGGAGAGGAAGGTGGAGGGGGTGGCTAAGAGGGTCTCCCCATCCCTCACACCACCCTCAGCACCCTCCCTGTCCCCAACTCCCTGGCACTGAGCCCTGTGCTGTTAGCTCGTCTAAGATCAAACTTTACTTCTTCCAGTCTCCTTGCCAGACTGTTGTCACCAGCCTTTGGCCGTGACAGACTCCCGTGCTCTTCTCCCCCACCAATTGGCATGTACATCCGCATACCTACTGCTAGTGGACGCTGTGTTTACAGGTTTAGGAGGCTTCTCGGAACCCTGTAGCTTGGATAGGGCTCATAGCTTTCAGGCTCCCCCAAAATATGGTCATGTTCACCCCATTTAGCACCAAGAAGAGCAGAAGAGGTGTGACAGGACTCGGCTGGAGTTGACTGCTAATTCTGGGAGAGACATGTTGGAGGTACCCTTCCCCTTTTTGCATTCCCAGAGCTGCAGAGTAGATGGTGTCCACTTACAGCAGCGGGGCCTGCGCTCCGGGCCTGCAGGGGGACTGCCCCAGGCCCTTCTGGGCCCTGCAGCCTAGCTTCTCAGGCCTTGGCCTTGGCCTTGACTGAGGAGTGAGAGGGATGGCCAGTGAGCCGAGGGGAGCTCTGTGCTGCTCCTGACAAGCAGCTTCATCTTTATGCCCTATTTCCTGACCCCAGACTAGGCTTCTCTCCCTGGCAAACATCTCTCCGTCTAATAATGAGAATTCATTTTTGTTGCTGTTGTCAACTGATGATTCATTTTTAATGGCCTTTAGTGTGGGATCTTGCAAAGGCTTTTTAAAAACCTGTGTAAGTTCGTTCTACAAAACACTAGGATTTATGCATCCCCTACTATGTGCAAGGCAGTACTGTGCATGCATAATCGGCTTGAAGAACTCGGAGGTAGGAATTTTTTCCTTTTAGAAACTCTATGGTCAGGGCTTCTGGGTGGCTCAGTCGGTTAAGCCTTCTGCTCAGGTCATGATCTCAGGGTCCTGGGATCGAGCCCTGCATCAGCCTGCTCAGTGGGGAGTCTGCTTCTCCCTCTCCCTCTGCTCCTCCCCCTAGCTTTTTTTTTTTTTTTTTAAGATTTTATTTA